GGTAGTTGACCGATTGACCAAGTCCGTGCACTTTATACCTATGTGCGTGAGTGATTCGGTAGACTATCTTGCCGACTTGTATATTAGGGACATAGTGAGGTTGTACGGGGTCCCTGTGACAATTGTTTCAGATAGAGATCCGTGTTTTACAGCTCGGTTATGGCAGAGCTTGCAGATTGCCTTGGGCACTAAATTGATCTTTAGTATTGCGTATCTTCCTTAGACTGACGGGCAGTCCGAGCGTACTATTTAGATCCTTGAGGATATACTTTGAGGTTGTGTCCTTGACTTCAAGGGGTATTGGGAGAGACACCAGCCCTTAATGGATTTTGCTTATAACAATAGCTTCCAATCAAGTATTGGTATAGCACCATTTGAAGCCTTGTATGGCTGACCGTGTAGATCCCTTGTATGTTGGGCCGAGGTGGGTGATGCACCTTTGTTGGGCCCAGAGTTAGTTTGGGAAACAACGGAAAAGGTAACACTTATTTGTAAAAGGTTAGTTACAGTCTAGAGTCGCCAAAAGAGCTACGCAGACCATAGGAGGAGACCCTTGTCTTTTGAGGTGGGAGATCATGTGTTCCTAAAATTATTACCTAGGCGGGGTTTGATGAGATTTGGGAAGAGTGGGAAGTTGTCCCCTCGGTTTATTGGTCCTTTTGAGATCCTTGAGTGGATAGGAAAGGTTGCTTATCGGTTGGCGTTGCCGCCACAATTTTTCGGAGTGCATGACGTCTTCCATATTAGTATGCTTCAGAAGTATGAGCTGGACCCATCACATGTATTAGATTGGACCGACTTGGAAGTAGATGAAGATGCCTTATATGAGGAGAGACCGGTGAGAGTCTTGGACAGACAGGACCAAGTCTTGCGAGGCAAGACAATTCTCTTAGTCAAGGTATTGTGAAAACATCACGGGGTTGAGGAAGCGACTTGGGAGCGTGAATTAGAAGTCCAAGAGAAATATCCAAACTTGTTTGCTAATATCTAAACATGTATTGAGATTTTGATTATAATGATGAAAAGTGTAAGCATTGCATATGTATTAAATTATAAGAACATTGTATATGTTATGGGTATTTTGAAATTGTGAATTCAATGTAAACATTGTATATGTTTTGAGAATATGGAATATTGTGGATGTTATGTCACTTTTGGGACACATTGTATATGTTGTGAAAATTTTGAAAATGCGGGTTTTGATAAACATTGTAAATGTTTTGGGAATTTGTAAATTTCATTTTAATGTGGGACTTGTGCATTGAGTCGGTGAGAATGGATGACCGGAGGATGGGTCATGGTATTGAATTTGTGGGAATAATATTGTTGGAAATGGTTTAACTATATTTGTGAACTTGGCTGATAATTTCGGGAGCGAAATTCCTTAAGGGGGGAGGCTATAGCGATTCTGACTTTGATCCATTACTTATTGTATTCTGGACTCGGGTTAGTGTGATTTTGAAAGTTATTTTATCTCTTTTCCTTGTCTCTCCCTTCATTTGAGTTATTGGGTTGTCGTTATGCGTTTGGGACAGGTTGGTTGCTCGTATTTCAAAACTTGTGCTGCCCAGATTTTGGCTTTTCTGCTCGAGCGGGAATTCTCGCGCTCGAGCGGGCTTCACAAATTTGCTCCTTCGCTCGAGTGGCCATTCTTGCGCTTGAGCGAGATTTGTCGACTCTCAGTACTTTTGCAGAGTGGGGACTTTCGTCTGCCAGACTTCTGGAAAAGTGTATTCTACGCTCGAGCAGAACTTTGTGTCTAATGCTTGAGCGAACTGCATGTATTTTAGTTCGAAAAGATGACATTTTGAATCACTTTTTCTTCTCTCTTTCTCTCTCTAAAATTTTTCAAAAAACTTGTTCTTGAGTTTCTCTCTCTACATTTCACATTCTATCTAGGAATTCATCTACATCCATCCATCTTTGCACCCTAGTGCCTTTGAGAAAAAAGGTAGAGCTCGTCAAGATCTACATTTTGATCCGATTAGAAGTAGGTTTTGGTGTTCTTGGAGTTTCCCTCTTGTGTGGCTCATCTTCTTCCTTTGAGGTAAGGATTCTTTCTACACTTTCATAAGATATTTAGCTTAGATATTGTCTCTTATGTAACAATTGTGTGATTTGGGGGTGTTTTAAACAAACCTAGGGTTTGGGCACAAAAATGGAAAATGGGGTTTTGGGTGTTGGTAAAATAGATGCTTGTGGAGTTTGAAAATGAGGTTGTGTCATGTCTAATTAAATGATTTTGGCACTTGGATAATATTTGGGAAAAAGGGGAGAGTTGCCCTAATTAGATCGACTATCATTTGGTAAAAATAATTGGAATTGACAGTGAAAATGTGAAATTGAGAGGGTATTGATATAAATGGTGAGATTGGTTATGCATTAACTCAGTCCTTTAGAAGTTTTGAATAAACTATCTATTTGAGATTTAATATTTGTCTAGAGATAACTGTATTTGGCTATCGGTGGAGGATAGCTTTGATTGTTGTAGAAATTACATATAGATTAGGTAAATCGAAACTAATCTTTGAGGGTTGTTATTGAATATGACCGTGTTTATATACATTGTATACGTATGTTGTTTGGAAGTAGAAAGGGAATGTGCTTTATGTTTGATTATCTATTTAAATACATTGCATGTGTATGAATATTTATTTGGGAGGAGAAAGGGGATGGACTCCATTATAATTAAGTTGACCGGAATGTCCTGTGTGAAAGTCCCGAAATTATACATGGGTGTCTATCCCGCTGTAGATGCGCCCGCGTGGGGGGGCCTCGCTGCTACAGTTCAGACTCGATTTGTGTCACGGTTCTTAATCTGAACCAAAGAGTCCAAATCTGGCAAATCGTTTTGAGAAACAGATTTTTGAAAAGAAGTGCCAAACATGGACTGCTTTGCCAGATACAAAGTCGCCACCTAAATATTTTTTTTATGGGCTGGTTCTTTGAGCACAAAGATTGAAATAATAGAAAAGGTAAGAAAAGAGGATAACCAAAGATAATTTTTCACTTGTTTTATAATAAAAACATGTTAAATAGTATATATTAAACTCAGAAATTCATATTGAAGGTGTTCCTTTAGAAACTATGAGAGATAGGTGTAGAAAAAGATAGTTTTGCATCGATTTAGAGAAAACACAAGTAGAAGAGGAATCAAAGCTCAACTCATCAATTTTATACACATGAACATCAAAATTTCAGAACTGAGATGATACTAAAGGACCTCCAAAATTATGTATTTGGATATGGAAAATAGAAGAGAGGGTTGTGTTGTGGCTTGCTTGTTACCTAGAGAAGTGCTAGCTCAAGAATTCTTCTATTTTTCTTTCCTCCACCACCAAAGCTCTCTTTCTTCCTTTCCTCTCTCTCTCTCTTTGAGCTGAATGTAGGCGTGCGTGGGTGTGTTTTTGATGCTCAAAGTATAGAGGGGGTGGGAGTATTTATAGGAAAAATAGTGTGAAAAAGTCTATATTTCCCATTGGACATGCGGATTAAGTGAATTGAAACTAATCACTTGTGCTTGTCATTGAATATGACTATATTTATATACATTGTATATGTATGGTTATTTGGGAATGGCAAAAGAATGTACTCCATTGTTTGAATTTATGATTAAATACATTGCATATGTATGAATGATTGTTTGGGAGGAGAAAGGGGATGGACTCCATTATAATTAAGTTGACCGGAATGTCCTGTGTGAAAGTCCCGAAATTATACATGGGTGTCTATCCCGCTGTAGATGCGCCCGCGTGGGGGGGCCTCGCTGCTACAGTTCAGACTCGATTTGTGTCACGGTTCTTAATCTGAACCAAAGAGTCCAAATCTGGCAAATCGTTTTGAGAAACAGATTTTTGAAAAGAAGTGCCAAACATGGACTGCTTTGCCAGATACAGAGTCGCCACCTAAATATTTTTTATGGGGGAATTTAGGAAACCCTGACTCGGTGCCAAAGGCCACGTGTCCGTCATCACCAAAGTTGCCTCGGCTCGGGAACTTGGGTACGATTGGGGAAGGTCAGCTATGAGCACCCCCTCTCGCCCGATCAAAGATCGGCCTCTACTAACCGTGATATCTAGTTTTGAAAACGTTATGTGTTCTTATTCCATTTATTAGCCTAGAATTACTATGTTATGCGCGCAGCAAACAAGTATAGACCAAATTGCCTAAATTGGAACAAAACATTACATTTTCGTTGGGAAGATGGTTTGCTACTCGCAAGTAGGCTAAAATGCAGGTTTTGCCATCCTCAAGTGTGCTTTAGAAAAGATGGTTTTTCCACTAGCTAGTGGGCTTAAAACTCACAGTTTTAATGCATTATTCCAAGTTAGGTAATTCAACCTCCATCCACAGGCATTCAAGCAGTTATATCACATAAGCAGCTAGCCTCATGGTAATCATGCTGTCATGGCAACACTCACACGCATGCGGTATGCTAAAGCGAAAGGACTTACAGAGTACTCCAAGCCAAAACAGAAACTAGTTAGTAATCATATGCATGATCCTAGTTCATGTTTGAAATGGCTAATGCAACACATGCAAAGATGCAATCTAAAGAGGCTCGGCTATTGTAATGACCCCAAAATGCGTATAGAAAGTCATCCTTATTTAATTAGGGTTTAATGTGTTTTAATTCAACTATATCTATCGGAATTAAAGAATTATCTGCTGAGTTATGGCGACCTTTATTGTATCGGCTTGGAATTTTTTTTACCCTCCGCTCGAGCATGGGCTCATTTTTGACATTCTTAATAGTGTATTTGGAATGTTCTTACCTTATTTTGGGTTATTGTTTGAGGTGGTGGTATGATGATAAAGTAAGATTGGACCAACGAATTTAATTCGAATAGTTAATCTACGATCAGCCGTCATTCATTTGCCCTTTTCTTTTTCCACACTTTGAATTTGAATGTGAGGTTAGAACCATTGGAAAGCTTATTTCCGGGGCTTCGATTTGGACACAAGAACGACCTAGAACGGAGTCCCGATGAGAAGTTATACCCGTTTGAAATTTTCACATCTGTGCTGGAAGCAGAGCCGCACGTGCGGGGAATAGCGCCGCACGTGCGGCCTGTTCGGGACAGCAGCTCTAAAAACGGGATTTTGGGGCCATTTCTTGCAATTTCTTTTCCTCTCTTCTTCTCCCCTCTTCCATATCCGAAACCCTAGCCCCAAATCCTTGAATTCCTTTACTTTGCTCATGATCCACCATGGTTTTTGGCATCAAGGATGGAGAATAAGGGAGGATCAATGTTTTTACCCGATTAGAACTTGGATTTGTGAAGGCTTCTTCTCAAGCTCACTTCTTTGCTTGATTATTGAGGTAATGGTTTGAATACTCTTCAATACTTATATCCATAGATAGATTTGTGACATTTTATTATCTAAATACAAAATTTCCATGTTTAGAGCATGTAGTGTATAGTATGAGATTTGGGGTTTTATGGTTTGAAGATGTTGGGAGTTAAATTGGTGGGTTAAAATGATGAATTGTGAATCCTAGAAGTAGAATCATTGGGAAAATTGGAATTAAAAGTGGTAATTTAAAGAAGTGGAATTTTTGTTAAAAATCCTCATTTTTCTTGAAACCCTAGCTTTGATTAATGATGAATACCCAATGATTTGGCCCAAATTGAAAGTAGCATAATGAAATTGAGGATATTGAATTATATGTGTTCAAGTTTAATTAGAATTTGAAATGTTTGAAAATTATGTTTAAAATTTGCGAATGAACTTTGTTATGAATATTGGAATCATGCTTAGCATGTGAAGGGAAAATTGGGGAAATAATCTATTAATGGTATGAATGATAATGAACTTGATTTTGGAATGTTGAAATGGAATTAGGAATTTCTCTGAATTATGTTGAATTATATTTAATGATGTGAGTTGAATCATGTTGCTTATGTTGAATTGTAGTGATTATGTGAGATGGTATTGACTATGTTGACTTTGATTTTTGTGACCTAAAATATAGAGTTTCCAAAATGGGTTAATTCCCAAATTATTTTGCTAAATACTTGTGGGCTTGCTTAGTTATTAAATCAAGAGAATGATTTATTTTTGGAAAAAATATGGAAGATGTCCATACAATTCCTTCCTATCTTGAAATCGAAGTGATTGATTAAAAATTCCATATTGTGTTGTAAGAATGGTAATCTTCTATTTCTATATATAGATATATTGAGATGGAGGAAATTGTGGTATAATGGATGGATAATGGTAGGCTTGTGAAGAATATAAAGGAAGGAAAGAAAACTAATGACTAAGTTATATATGTGTACAGGGCATACTTCAGGAGGGCCAAGCACTCCGTTGTAGCACTGTGAGTAGTAGTACTTCGATGTATCTTTAACCATTAATGATTATTGTTATCGACGTTATGATCTTCGTTCATAAGAATTAGTTACATGTATGTTATGTATGCTACGTAAATATTGTGAAATTAATGGAAACACCAAAGGTGTTAGCTATATGAGGAACATTGTGAAATTATGGAAAAACAATCAAAAAGGATTTGTGAAATATGCATCTCGAATTTGTGAAGTATGGATCACCAACTTGTGAAATATGAAACGATGTGGCCGAGGGGCCATTTGTGAAGTATGAATTTCCGATTGTGAATTGTGAAACTATGAAGCCAAGAGCCGAATTGTGAACCTATGAAACCCAAAAGCTAATTATGTATATGTGAATTTATGTGGCCAGGGGCCATTTGTGAAATTATGAAGCATATGAGGCCAAAGGGCCAAACTTGTGAACTTGTGAATTTATGAGGCCAAGGGCCAAACCTTGTGAACTTGGTGAATTTATGAGGCCAAGGGCCGACTTGTGAATTTATGTGGCCAAAGGGGCCATTTGTGAACTATGAACCATGTGGCTAGGGGCCATTTGTGAAATTATGAGGCTATGAGGCCAAGGGCCAAACTTGTGAACTTGTGAATCCAAAGGGCCGAAGGCCGATGTGATGAGTTGTGAATCTATGAAACCTAAAGGCTATCGTGAATGTGTGAACCCCTCAGGCCAAGGGCTGAACGGTGGAATTGTGAAACCGATAAAGTCATCTGTAATTTAATGAAAATGTGCTTGCTTTGTCCTGTTAACTTTATGTTAATTATGTCAACTCGTGGGAATGATGTAACGGTTATCATTAGGACTCTATTAATTACAAGGCAGGGTGACTATGTTAACATATAAGAATGATTAAACAACGGTGTATACTATTGATTAATAGAGCACGTGAATTAAGTCATTTACCCAAAAGAATTTATGTTCGTTCTTGAAGAATAGATTCTGAGTAAATATAAGAGTAGCTCTGTGTATCCATATGAATTTGAAGTTATTTTGCTATGTTGCTTATGAATTGGAAGTTATTCAGAATCTACGATATAAGTGCAAAGTTTAGCATTATTATGTGACTCTTATGAGAATGTGAATTAGTCTCTTATTGTTAAGCGTACGAAAATGACATAATACAACAAGAAACACTCTAGTTATAATATGTTCCGTTTGAATTAATGAATGATGTTCAAGTATGCTGAGGTATGTTTCAAGTATATGTTATAAGTTTGAATATACTATAAGGTCAAACAAGTTTCAAGGGCTTTATGCCAATGTTTCAAGGGCCTCGTGCCACCACATTTCAAGGGCTTATAGCCATCAAGTTTATGTTGCAAGATTGGGTCTAAGGCCGTTATGTACTTAGCACAGAATCAGACTATTACATTGACATGTATTATGTTTCAAGTTAAGCATCATTTTATTTATGTATTACTATTCACTGAGCCCGGCTCACTCTCTATTATGTCTGTTTCTGTAGGTCAGCAACCAGGTGGTCAGTCCTAGCCAAGACGTCCGCTTTCTTTTGTCAACCTTCGTATGTCCAGGCACTGTATAAGCCATTTATTTTGTCAAGTTGTTAAGATGTTGACTTGCTTATGGGTGTCCCTCTAAGGTTGTTGTATATACTTTCATGTTCATTTTTTTTGTATACGCCCAATCATGGGGCTGGCATTGTAAATGTGTATGTATATGCTCCGGGTTATAGTTGGAACTTTATCTATCCACTATAATGCATGTGATGAATGAGATCCTGGCATGTAGAAGTAGCTCAATGGAGTTTATTTGTTTCATTATTTCCATTTTTTTTCGTGCTTCCGATAAGGCCCCGTATGTTATGTTACCAGGTTACATGTCCGTTTCCGAATATGTCATGCCCAAACTTTTAGGGGTGGGTTTGGGGCGTGACAGCTATCCTAAACATGGCATGTGAAATGTTGCAACTAACAAATACTCAACTTGGAATTGAAATACGAGTGCAGTTAGCATGATGTACCGAGCCTAGTGCATGCAAGACAAATATATGAATGCACGCATGCATAACATAAGGTATGCTAATTTAAACATGTCCTATTACTAACCATCAAAGCAGGTAAGTAAAAGGGAGAAAGAAGTGGGGGTTGGAAGACATGCACACACTCGCCCACACTTATTACAAATTCACCCTCGTTCGGAGGGACCAAAAGAATAATACAATTCGAATAATGAATTAACTATCCTAGCTAATTAATTATTACAAATTACCTAATTAATTAACAAATTAACTAAGCATAAGGAAAGCAATAAAAAGGGGCTCAGGAAGAGGGTCCGATGCGCGCGTGCTCGGGTCTTGCTCGGAAGTGCACTGCCATGCATAGACTGCCTCTGTTAATGCTGCTTTGCCTCTTTGAAGACTCCCAAAGTCTCAGAATTGCTTCTCTGGACATTGGGAGACACCACCGGCTGAGTAGAATAGCCACCGGCAGTGGTATGTGATCATCGGCTGTTGGTGAAGACATCGGCCCAGTAAGGATTGCCGGTCGGCACTAAACACTGCCGGTCGGCAGAAAGTTCCTGCAGAATCTGCAATTGACAGCAACAGAGGGCAAGACAGAACATGGCAATGCAATTCAAGCAATGTATGCACCAATCACACCCCCTTATCATGTTTATGACTCAAAGGGCCATGATCCTTGGTTCTCGGACCATCAATCGCGCATTTCAATGCGTGATGGCCCAAAGAATCAAGTGTGCACTTTGATTTCAAATGTAATGCATGCAAACACATAAGGGCCCAATCCCTATCACTAAATCAAGGGGCAAGGCATGCATGTTCTATGCAATGCAACCTAGGCATGGAGGCTAAGTATGCAACATGAACATGAGGACAAGTATGCAAGTTAGCAAACATGCAAAGTGTAATCTTAACCATGCACACATGCAAGGCATGTAACATGTTAGGAAACTGAGCAAGAAATGCATGCCAAATGCAACACCATTTAAACATGCAACAAAATGTCATGAGCCAAGTACTTAAGCATACAAACATGCATGCAAGCATGGTTGAATACCTAAGCATATAGAAGCAACTTTCAAGCACACTTAAAAGGGGCAAACATTGGCACATAGCATACATGATAAGCTTTGAAAAACATGTAGAAGATGATGCCAAATCAACCTACCAATGCAAGCAAAGCATGCATCCAAGCCCAAGGACTTAAACTATGATCATATGACACACGACGCAAATGATCAAAGTGAATCAAAACAGTCCCAAATCATGCCAAATTAAGGTCAAAGACACACCTAGATGGCATCTAAATGGCCTATACATGGAAGCATACGAAAGGGGCAAAACATGGAGCATAAGGTACCAACCTCTTAAAGCATTAAAGGAGCATCAAATGCAAGCATACAAGCATACTATAAGGACTGAAATATGGTCTCCAATGATGCCAAATCATGAGAACAAGCTAAGTAAAGCATGCTAGTGACACACACATCCAAGGCTAACAAGCTAGAATGCAAAGAGGCTATACAAAGCATGGCAAGCATGACCAAAACGACACCAAACAGAACTTAAACATGTTAAAACATGACTAAAAACTTCACAAAGCTAAGCCAAAACATGCAAGCATGGTGGTCCAAATGCAAGATGCCTTTCTAGGCAAAATAAAGGAATGCAAGGCAAGCGTAAGGTGCATGCAAGGGACCATTTAAACCAAGCAAAAATAGTAACATGGTATGTCAAATAAGCACCAAAAACCCATGGAAACAAGGTCCACACATGCTAGAATGGGGCGTTCCTTTGAAAGGCCAACAAAAGGGTTACTCTACACATGCAATAAGGACATTCAACAAGACCAAACCAACTCTGGAAATGGCTTATGGGGGTCCTAAAACCCACTGAAAAATGCTTGAAACAAGGCTTGGA